TTTCAGACAGATATTTTTCACCATTGAAAGATGTTCCACAGTTGTGTGCCGCAGACAATAGAAGTCCTCTGTCAGTATACCTAAAGCTGTATGTTCCCATGCAGAGGCTCCAGCACAGTGCACTGCGGACAGGTCATTAGAATGGTTAGATCGCACTGCAGACTGCCAAGTGTCCCATCCCTGTATTGCAGCTTCTAGGGAGCATCAACTTCAACTAGCTTTCCTAATAGGGTCCATCCTGGGGGCAGGATAACATGCAATTACTGTGTAGTACAAATAAATGTTCCTGGTAAACATCATACACGGAGTTTTACAGACTATGATAGTTTGACTTTGTTTTCTGTTCTGTTGAATACAGCTGTGCAGTGTCATATCTGCAGCTTCTGTACTATATACTCATGGATGGGTACTTGCGATGGCTGCTGGACGAATTCCCCAAGTTTTCGGGATTTGTTAGCAATGTAGCATACATCATATACAAATACCGTTTCATAATGCAGGAGATATATTTGTTCGGTCAAGAGATTGGATTTGCATTACCTTTAAAAAAAGGTACATCCCTTTTACAAACCCTGTCCTACATTTCTGCATGTACTAAACTAAAGCAAAGATCTGACAATAAATACATTTACATTTTGTATTCAGACCAATAACTAAAAGAACTTACTTTAAATGATTAATTATCCACATGTGATCCACAACACATAGAGATATAGATAATTGGGAATATTCCAGTAGCAGGACTTTCTGCAAGTTTGTATTATCGTTTGCAAGTTCACAATGTTAACACATAAAGATTCTTTTTTTTTTTCTTTTTTTTTTTTTAATAAATAAAATCGTGACAGTTGTTTTCATTTGATTCACTTGGCTAAACAAAGATCCTTATCATTGTAAAATTTCAGCCTAATATGTTATATATATATTAACCCTTTCCAAGGCTGTGGAAACTGCCAGATAACTCTATTTAAATATATCCAGGCTGATCTACTAAAGAAGTTCAGAATCTTCTCTATGGATTGTACTTGCGTGCACTTCTATTATCCAGTCTTGTGCAGATGAAATAAACAAAAAAGGAATTTCCTTTTCACAAGATTTAATAACCGAAAATGTATTTATTAGTGAATTAATTATTTTATTGAATTAATATTATTGTTATTTGTTGTTATTATTATTATTATTATTATTAATAATAATAATAATTTTGAATGTGGTTATTTTTTTATATTTTTTCATATAATATTTAATTTAATATATTCTAAATATGTATTAATCAAATTTATTGAGTGAATATTTTCCAGTCCTTTATAGTAAATGAGCCTCAGTGTGTGGATTTGTAAATATTGGAAAGGCGTTTCAATTTTCTTTTTTAATTCATTTTTATTTTTTGTGTGGGTCCATACATCTCTAGAAATGCATCATTTCCTCCCGACTGAATGCAGATCTTGTGATTTTTTTTTTTAGCAACATGCACCTCGATTTTTTATTGTTTTTTTTTTTTAAAATCTGATAGATGATCAGTTATTAAGATTAATTAATTTGATTAAAATTGGTTAGTTTTTATGACTCTCAATAATGGTATTTCAAAACAGAAAAAATATGATTATTCCATGCGATCATGGTATATTAAATACATCTATTTTTATGGCTATATCTGCAGATATGTCAGTCTAGGAAATGTAGCATTGTGGAATGTTTAATGTAGCAGATGTGAAATTATTAGATGGATTTTTTTTATTGTTTTATGGTTTAATTGATATACTGTATGTATGGATAAATTAGTACTATTTCTAGAAGTGGAAAGATCATATACAATTATACAGATCATATACAAACATTGGTTAGGTATTTGGGAAAGGCACTCCAGAGCCAGGACCACAAATGATGACTACCTGCCCATATCAAACAGCACTGAGCCTCACCAGGTTTCCAGGTCTTAAACTTATGTTCCTGGCTACTCTCAACATCTATTACTGTTGGATGTATAATTAACAGAGGACACAGAGCCTCTGCTTTTAGCAGAGACTGGCTCGTTGCTCTATTCATTTACACAAGTGTAGAGACCACCATCTCTAAATGGTGGGAAAGATCTCTGGTGGCCTTTGTGATGGTACTTAGGTGTCTTTATACCTCCTGGGCCTTTTTTAGTGAAATCACACATTTGAATGCTCATTTCAATGGCCCATTACTCTCCCAAATAGAAATGGAAATGTAGTTTGTGTTCCCTAACTCGGTGACAGATCATAAAATGTAAACTTGTGATGATGGATAATATATACCTTGTAACTGTGTCTTCCCACATAGAGTTCTCCGCCTGAATCCACATAAATGTGCCCTTGGCTGTCAGTCTAATAGAGGGGAGGTCTTGTATTGATTGTAAAGAATCATTGAATTTCCTATCACTACAATTGTGTTGATAAGATAGTAATTGTACAAATATTAATCCCACTGGAAATCATTCTACAGCAAATCAGATAGGTCCACGAAAACTATAATAAATATTGACTTCAGAAGCGATATGCAATAATTAAACATTTTTGAAAAATATATATATATTATATGCTAATACAAATGATAAATACTTTCTATGGATTGTTTTCTGAGTGATCAGTGGGCTCTGTTTCACGTTTAGAAGGAGAACAGTTTTAAGTTTACATAACCAGAGAAAATGAGGCTGATTTGCTAAAGGAGTTGGGAAACGAAACTCAAAAATCTGCAGGTTTCTGTTCCAAACATTGATAATCTCTATAGCAAATCAGACCTGTCCAAGAAAACTATTTTAGACAAATATCAACTTCAGAACTATTTTACAGTTTTAAAAAGTGAGATGTGTGACGTCAGTGATTATATGGTAGTATGTATAAATTATAAATGTTTTCTGTGGGTTCTTTTCTGTGTGATCGATGGGCTCTGTTTGACATATTGATTTTTGGGGGCTTGAATAGATTTAGATTTACATAACTAGAGAAAATGAGCCGGATTTACTAAAGAAGTTGAGAAACGTCAATTACAAGAATGTGATGATTTACTTCAATTATCCAGTTGTGTAAAAACTAAACAAGATTGGAACATTAAAGTAAATCTTCCATTTTTTGTGAGTGAGAATTCTCAATTACTTAAGGCTGGCCATACATTATACAACTTGACTTTAGATTGACCTAAACCATATATTACGAGGTCAAAACCTATACACTTTGTAAGCAATCAGGCAAGCCCTTGTACTACATAGTTGTAGGTGAATCTAAAGGAAATTGAATAAGAAAATTGTATAATGTATGGCCAGCATTAGTGAATTCACCTCTTTGGACTCTCATCATATGACTGATTAGGCTATCCATAGTAAGTTAATTATTTGTCTTTCCTTCATCTGAGAATAAGAGCTCCCTGGTCTGATGTATCTCTGCACCTTTAGGACATTTTCAGATTACATAAAATATATTAATAGGATAGTATTTGAATTATAATGGTATGAAATATTTAGCAATTGTCAGTTCATATGACACTTCAGAAGAGTTGTTACAATTCAGCTGTCACTAAGGAATCTGAATTGTATAATGTACCACTCGCTGAAATGCTGTATACATCACTTAATTTAAAATCATAGCTCATATCATTTAGATTGTAAGCTCTCAGGACCAGGGCCCTCCTAACCTTCTTTATTGAATTGTATTATACTGTCTTTTTATAAACCCTAAATAATAATAATAATAATATTTTATTGGATTATCATGATGTATATTTATGCATCATTCTATATTTCCATTCCTTACTTTTACTAGAAGTTATACATACTGAAGAATGTAATTATAGATTATCCTAACGTATAATTATGGATCATTTTATATATCCATTTACTGATTTTACTATACATATTGAGGAATGAAATTATGGATTGTCATACTGTATAATTATGTATCATTTTACATTTCCATTCACTGCTTTTACTATACATGTTGAGGATTGAAATTATGGATTATCATACTGTATAATTATGCATCATTTAATATTTCCATTCTCTGCTTTTACTAGCAGTTATACATACTGAGGAATGAAAACAAATGAGAAGTAAAAGGAATAATGACAAAAACCAATAAGTCAATTCCAAATATTTTTTTTTTATTTGAAACAAAGTTGGATCATAATAAATATTTTTTGATACTTATCAAGAATATAAAAAATAAAGACACAAGCTCTCTTTGAGGCCTAACAAAATAGTTGGAAGCAAATGCCCAGGGACTAAATAATAAGAAAAATTAAAAACGAACAATTACGACAAGATCGTTCAAATCAAACGGCAGTACACGTCCATATTCGTGAGAGTAGACGATCAGCTCTGTGGTGGTGAATATTGGGACCAGTTCTCTGTATTGAAGACAAGGAGGACCTGGGCAGTCCTTAGTGACAGCTTCATACTGGACACCAGTACGGAACATATACTCATATATTAAACCTGGGGACACACGCTGCTTACAGTCCAGCCTCTTTCTATAATGTACAAAGTCAATGACACACTCTTGCCACTCTAGATTTCAAAGAATTCACTAATAAAAAAAATCCTTGTTACAAGGAAAATTGCATGGTAGCCAGGCAAATGTATCCACAAGACTAGCTCCTAGCATGCATGCCTTATTTTCAGTTCTCTGGTACAAAATAAATATACAGTTATGTCATAGTCTTGCACAGATGGATGAATAATGTGTTACAGAAAACTTGTTCAACATCTCATTCTATGATCTTATAATGACAGCAATTGTACATACTAAAATAAAACAGCAATATTACAATTATCCCAATTACCTTTACCTTGATGATCATTGATAACAGAACTGAGGATAGTAACTGAACAGTGGTATAGAAAATAAAAGAAGCATGCATGCAAACAGAATTGCTTGTCAGAGTCTTCCTGCATCACCACAAATATATACGTATATATATATATATTTATATTTATATAATCTTATATATGTCATTCATCTGAATGGGGAGTCTCTGTGCAGCTGGCACTACTTCAGTAAGTCCTTGGCTTCTGAAGACATCCTGCCCAAACTGCTTGTCAGGGCAGAGAGCTGGGGTGGTGGTGGCATTTGACAGATAGTGCAGGGACATGGGAGACCTGCCCAGTGCTGGAAGCCACTGCCAAGGGGCATTGGAGGGGCGGAGGGGGTTTTCAGTAGTGAATGTGCTGGTCTGATGTTGCCAATTCCTGGTAAACTGGCAGAAAGGCCAGATGAGTTGTTGGATGCCAATGCGCTGCCCAAGATGGGGTGCACCTGATGGACTGCGTTGGATGGGTGGACTGGGTGAGTGGCCGAATGCCCCACTGTCCCACAGTGAAATGCTGAATGGTGACCTCCATAGATCTCACCCACAAGTCGTTTCATCTCCTCCAAGGAGCTTGTCAGCATCAGGATATAGTTTCTGGCAAGCAGCAAGGTGGCGATTTTGGAAAGTTTCCTTACTGATGGCCCATGGGCATAGGGCATGACTTCCCTCAAGCCATCCATGGCAAGGTTCAGGTCGTGCATCCTTTTACGCTCCCGGCCATTTATTTTCAACCTGAGCTGTTGAATGTCTTGCTCAGACAGTTGCTTCTTGAGTTTGTATTTGCTGCTATCTCCATCTCCCTTGGAGCTGTGTCTGGAGAGGACTTCATCTGACATCTTCTGCATGAGATCGTTCTGAGTGGAGGAGACTGAGTTGAGTCGGCTGTCGTGGTGATGATGATGATGGTGATGGTGGTGGTGACCTCTGAGATACATCTCATCCATGTCTGGAGAGGAGGCTCTGCTGGACATTGAGCTAGAGTCAGAATTCATTGTTCAGAGCTTTCTGGGTTTAAATAAGACTTTCAGCTCTACATGCAAACTTCCCTTAGGAAGAGATCCAAATGCACAAGCCTATGGAGGGATTTCTGAGAGCTCAGCAGTGTAGATGTGCTCCCTCCTTTCTCTATGAGCTACAGTAGTCTCTCTATCTCTCTCTCTCTCTCTCTCTCTCTTGCCTCCAGGTACCCAAGGCGAGCTGTGAATGAACTGCACAGTCAGACTGAAAAGAGGGGCATTTATAGAGCTACTTCAGAGGAGACAGACAAAAGAAGCCCTCCTATCTATAATGGTCTTGTTAGGATGACGTGCTATTATTCAGGGCGGTGCGCTTTGACTGTCCCATTAAGCAAGAGGCCCTATTCATATTCATTGTGATGCCACCATGGGACATCTCAGCCACGGACCATCCGGAGCCAAGGAAACACAAAAACCCCTGACTGACAGACTCACAAGAAGCTGACCACTGCAGGGGCTACCCTTCCTACCCCCTTCCTAATACTCAGCTTATTATGCCTGTCTTCAACAGAGACATGCTACATGTATGGATCTCCATCATACACTTCACCTTCTGTAGATTTACCTGCAGCAGCAGAATACTATTGTATGCATCACCTCACATCATCATATTAGTAGTCATACATTTCTATTAGTAGTGTCGCCAGGGATATTGTATATCTTTAGTGTGTCTTTACATTTCAATGAATGTAACTATTCCATCCTCATTCAATAGTTGAATCATTTACATTATTATATAATAGATAATTCATTGGTATGACTTAACAACCTGTGGATAGAAAATAAGTAGCGAGTCAAACTTTACCTTTCTTTCTTTCTTTCTTTCTTTCTTTCTTTCTTTCTTTCTTTCTTTCTTTCTTTCTTTCTTTCTTTCTTTCTTTCTTTCTTTCTTTCTTTCTTTCTTTCTTTCTTTCTTTCTTTCTTTCTTTCTTCTTTCTTTCTTTCTTTCTTCCTTCCTTTCTTTCTTTCTTTCTTTCTTTCTTTCTTTTCTTTTCTCTTTCTTTCTTATATCTATCCATATCTATCTATCTATCTATCTATCTATCTATCTATCTATCTATCTATCTATCTAAAACATATCTATGTATCTATCTATATATCTCTTATCTATTTATCTAAAACATATCTCTATATCTTTCTTTCTAAAATATATCTATCTATCTATCTATCTATCTATCTATCTATCTATCTATCATCATCTTGCCACCTAGTCATCGGATTTCATCAAAGAAAAGCTTGAAAAAGTTTGCATTCTATCCTGTAGTTGAAGCCAGTTCCAGACCAGGAAAGAGTATGGTCCCTATTTATTAGTACTACAGTATTTCTAAACATTAATGAATTAGTATAGCATTTATTTGTATAGCAATTATTTTTTAGTGTAACATTTATTTTTATTTTGGATAGCCACCAGAATGACTGTTAACCTGCAGCTGACACAACGCTTCTATACCCCGTGTATCACAGTTTAGAAGTAATTATTGTTATATCCATTCAGGTTACTGGAAATTCACGTGTAAATAATAAAAAGCAAGAGCTTGTCAATATTTCTTTGTCAATCCGTTTAATCCCAAAATATAAATTAAAAATAAATAGCACAAGTGAGTATTTGCTATTAATATGTATTACTATATCCAAGAGTCAAAACTAACAAATACAAGTCAGACACAAGTGAAAAAACATGCAGTCTTTCTAATAATACCATTAATAATACAAGTCATTAAACACAATAAAAAGTAAAGTGATGCATTTGTCAATTATTTCAACATATCAGGCATAATATACTGGAAAGTTATTTCCAGTATATTCCTGGAAATACTAGAATGCTGGAACGATTGACCAGCGTTTTAGAGAGATAAGCAGAAATATATATATATATATATATTTTATATATATATATATATATATTTCTTAGATATATATATATACATATATTTATATTTGTAAAATATAACTAACGTTTTTTTTCTTTAGAGATAAGCAGAAATATATATATACATATATATACAACTTTTACAAGAAATTATATATATATATATATATATATATTCTATATATATTTGTATTATATACAGATTTTACAACAAATTCTAGTGAAGATTTTTAATTTTCCATTTATATCTGAGAGGCATGGCAGTCCACTATACTTTTCCAAACGAATTATTTTTTCTTTACTATTTGCACCTGCTATGTAAATTATGATTAGATCGAATGTTTCTGTGTAGCCTCTTTGTTTTGCCTACGATTAGTCGCTAAAGGAAATGTATGTTGGTTATTTGTCGCAGTGTCTGCAGTACATGAAGTCTGCTCTCCGGCGGAACAAGCCTAAAATGAGACAGGATGGGGAATTTCAACTTTGCTCATTCCCCAGCAAGAGGATGGCTCGGGGTGACAGTCACCAAGGCTAGTGGATGGGATATGATGAGGTTCTGCCTGATAAGGATGTGATTTGTATTATAAACACAAAAGAAAGTTTCTACATCTACATCTATTTAAATACTTTTCTCTATCATCACCTGCTGGGAAGACACCACGATGATGTCTGCAAATTCCCCAGGTCAGGATACAGTTGTCTTTCTTTTCATTCATGATGAGCTCAGTCGGTTTGGTATTGGTATGAGTATAGATCATCGCCAATATTACTACCCGATGGCTGAACGATCTGACTGATCAACAATGCTGCTTAACTGTTTGACAGCTGGGTAAGTTCCTTTAGGTAGTCATGATGTTACTGCTTTTTGGCAAATGTTTTTTGCTCATTGTATTCACGTTCAATATTCCTATTTTATATATATATATATATATATATATATATTATATATATATTATATATATATATATATGCACTTTAGTAAGAATAGAGATGTTTTATATATATATATATATATATATATATATATATATATACATATATATATGCACTTCAGTAAGAATAGAGATGTTTATATATATATATATATATATATATATATATATATATTATATATATATATAGTAGGCATTGATCAGGGGAAGGGTGGAAGAATAATTTGCTAAGATTTTTGTAATTGGTAGCCCAGTCCATATACAACCGGAATACCATACCATATGCAGCTAAATAACAGAGGAATCTAAACAGTGCATCATATTGTTTTAGTTTTATAGTTCAGAAAGTCTGTTTATAGGAACACACACACACACTATGTGTGATATGATATGATTACTGCTGTACTGCTGGGCTGTACATTAAGGTTGAATAGGACAGGAGACAGGAATGGGGCACTAGTATATATTTTAGAGATTGTGGAATGACATCTCTATTCTTACTGAAGTGCATTAATACATGTTAGTTACACAGTCAGTGACAACTTTTTTTTTTCATTACACTTGTGAGAGTTTTACATTTTTTTGCTTTAGTTTTTAACAAAATTGAATACATTTTTCCTGTTGACTTTTTAATTAAAACTAACATTTTGTTGCACTTGGTCAAGTTACATTTTAAGTTGTAGTACATCCTTCTATCAGTCCATATCTAGAGGCTGTAAGGCTTCAGGGAGTATGGGGGAAGATTTGCTAAAACTGGTACACTCAGAACTGGTACAGCTCTGCATGGTAGCCAATCAGCTTCTATCTTCAGCTTGTTCAATTAAGCTTTGACAATAAAACCTGGAAGCGGATTGGTTTCTATGCAGAGCTGCACCAGATTTTGCACCATGCAACTTTAGTAAAAATAAAATATGTCATGTGTTCATGGCAGTCTCTCCCACTTGTGAACATTGTACTACTGGCAGTGATTGAATGGGAATATTAGGGGGGCTTATCTAGGGGAGAGCTGGCAAGGGGAACCTGGTCCTTCTTGTTATCATGAGCAAGAACTGGTCTTAAGAGGCTAAGGCTGGCCATACACTATACCATTTTCTTACAGTTTTCTGCCCAATCTCTGCCCAATTTCCTTTAGATTTGCCTGCCACTATGTAGTGCAAGGGCCTGCCTAATTAGATACAATTGAAAGTGTTGTTTAGGTTTGACCTCATATTATATGGTTTTTGGTAAATATAAAGCAAAAATCACAGGAAAATTGTATAATGTATGGCCAGCCTTACAAGGTGTTTTTCAGTACAGCTATGAATGGTCAATACAAAATTGCATGCTCATTGTTATCAGTGTCAATAAAGGTTACACAGGTTTTCTTGCAGGAACCTGGAGGGGAAATAGACAGAGCCCTGGTTAGGCTGCAGCCAGTTACAGTCTAAAGTGACACATTTTTCTTTATCCCTGTAATAGTAAACATGTAACAGCTAGTAACTGGTATGTTGGGTTAGAGGTGTTGGGTTGGGTATGAGGGTTAGCTTAGTGTAAGGCTGGCCATACATTATACAATTTTCTTGAGAATTTTGCTTTAGATTTACCAAAAACCATATAATAGGAGGTCAAACCTAAACAACGCTTTCAATTGTATCCAATTAGGCAGCCCCTTGCACTACATAGTTGAAGGTAAATCTAAAGGAATTTTGGCAGAAATTGTAAGAAAATTGTATAGTGTATGGCTAGACTTAGGGTCAGGGTTTAAGGGTTTAGTTTTAGTGTCAGAGTTTTTAGGTTAACAGGGGAGTTTAAGTGTTAAGGGTTAAAGTATATTTCCGGGTTTGCAGCCAAACTGGATGAATAACCACTTTATATTGGTTACATGTTCCCAGTCACATAACATGAACATGTATACATTGCTGCTTACTCGTTTAAACACTCTGTTCTGAAAAGCCTGGGACTAAAATTCTGCTTATAGCTTCCCTTTATTTTTAATGTTTATGAGGGGGCTGAGGAGTTAAAGCCTGATTCGGGGCAAAATAAATTTCTTCCCCATGCGGTGGGGCTGTGCTCGCACTGTAAGGGTTAACCGCTTGTTTTTTTTCTAGGGGAGAGGAGAGCGGAGGTATAACTAACTACCAAATCCCTCTCAGGTCCTCCCAAAAGAAGACCGGTCCAGCACCCCCATGCTCCAG